ATAGGGAGTTTCAGATTTCATGACAACTGGATTCACTTACAAGTTAAACCCTTGAATTAAAGCAAACCAAGTACAAGGGTACCTGCGGTACACTGAGATTTTAATGTTAAGTGAGGTCTTATTTCAAGAAATTAGAATAGTTTTGTGGCATTTATCACATTTGTGAACTTGATTACTTCCAATTACACCATAAACCAAATAGCAAGCCATGCTTAAAAACTGTAATGAACTTAGTCAACCAGATGATGTCAGTACCAAAGCAAATGAACTTCAATGAAGCCAAAGTGCCTTCACAGTTTGGTGCTGGTGACAAAGGTATTCCCTGTGAAAACTGCCAAAGCATTGTAAATATCCTCATTTGCTAACCTTGGCATTGGACATTATCTAAAACAGCTAATCCACACTAACATGGTTCAGCAAAGAACTTTTATTAAAGGACACATAATTCTAACCTGAGTCTTTAAATTTCATGTATGCAATTCTCATTGAATTCAATATAGTTTGGGGTTTCGCAGCTGCTGGAAAGGGTATCAGGTGGCAAGAATACTTGCTAATAAGATTAAAAATTGAAATGTAAATTGGCTAACATTTTGCATGGATTATCACATGCTCAAGAATCAGAATTTCAGCTTGGCCTCCATTCAACCAAGTGTCTCTCTATTTCTGCCCAAATTGATCTTGATAATGGTTGGTGAACTCAAACACACCACAGTGCATACAGCTTTTGCCAAACGGCAGGCGAGCATCTCAAGAAAGATAACAGGGCACATGTTTAGCAAGAAGGTCTCACAGCACAGCTGTGTCCAACGGCTGCTCTTTTAAATATTCCTTTCACAGCGACCAGGCCTCCCTTCTACTGCTGGCTTCTTAGATGGCAGAGGAGGAAAGAGGAGTCACAGTAAGTTGGGGGTGGAGAGGAGACCCAGTCAGAAACTCACAAAGCTTTGAGGAACTCTTTAAACTAGAATCACAAAAAAGAAAATGCTCCAAAACAACACCAACAACAACAACACAAAAAACACATGGAAAGATGCACAACATCACAGTAATTATAGAAATTCAAATCAAGACTACAATGAGAGACCACTTCAAAAACACTAGGACGGCTACAATAAAAAAGATGAACAGTGAGTGTTGGCGAGGATGTGGAGAAATTGGAACCCTTACCCACTGCTGGTGGAAATGTGAAACAATGCAGGGGCAGTTTCTCAAAATGTTAAAACAGAGTTACCATGTGACCCAGCAATTCCACTCCCAGGTAGTTATCTACAGAAATGAAATATACTCCACATAAAAACTTGTACATAAATGTACATAGCAGTATTATTCATAGGAGCCAGAAGTGAAAACAACCCAAATGTCTATCAACGGATCACTGGATAAACAAAATATTGTATATCCATTCAATGGACAATTGTTACAATGAACAATGCAATATAAGTGCTGATACATATTACGATATGGCTGAACCTCGAGGACATTATGCTAAGTGAAAGAAGCCACTCTCAAAGGGACAAATACTATATGATTATATGAAATGTCCAGAATAGACAAACAACAAGAAAAATAGATGAGCAGTTGCCTAGCATTGGAAGGGGGGTTATGGCTGAGGGTTACAAGGTTTCCTTTTGGGGTGACAAAAATATTCTAAAATTAGGTTGTGGTGGTGGTTAAACAACTGTGAATATACTAAAAACTATTGAATTGTACACTTTAAATAAGTGAATTATATCTAAATAAAGATACAAAAAGAAAGAAAAGAAAATAAGAAGAAACAAAAAGAAGCTGAGTTATAAAAGGCAGAAGTAAGTCTAAGAAGGCTGTGTCTGACAAACTAGTCCTGGCTGAAAAACAAGATGATGGGGCAATTCACATGCCACTGACTAGTCGTGATGATGACCAAGCAGCTCACCAATCCAGATGTAGGGCAGCATTCATTGGCATGACCACCACCCCCACCATCAGACATCCTACTCAAGTGGCTCCCAGTCATCCACCAGGTTTCTGCTCTGGGCTGCCTGAGACCTATCAGTCCTGCCCCAACTCAACCACAGCTTCCACTGGTTCATCATTCTTCTGAAAGGAGCTCAGAAGTGACACCTTAATGAAAGAAGGGAGCAGCAGTTGCTGCAGTAGCCAAAGCAGACTCCCCTTTGAGGCCTGGCTATCCTGCCAGTTGTCCCCTACTACATCAGAAACCATCAAACTGCGCAACAGGGACACATCCAAGATCATTCCAAACGTGACCCACCCAGGGATCTCACCTCCAAAATTCTATGATTAGGTGTAAAACAAACCAAAAAACCCCAGTACCTTCATATTCGACTCTCACATTTTAAGAAAAAGAGAAGAAGATCACCGCATTAGGCATACTGTTATGAAGATAAAAATATTTCAGCCACAATCGTTTTTCCATTATAATAAATATCGTGGTTCATGATAGAACTTTACAGCCCAAAGATATGATTAACATGATGATGCTGTTTCAAGTAAGCAGAGAAGACGATTTATTCCCACAAAGCAATATGAGAATAAATGAGTGATGAGTGCTCTGCAGTTAGCAGAAAGAAGAGAGACCCTCATTGTCTTTTGGATGGGAGACCTACTCTTCAGAAGTGAAACTATGATTTGTTTTAACTGACCAAAAGGAGAGCTTGAGGAACAGATATACGGTACATTCCACCCTCACACCCCGGGGGCGGGGAGGGGGGCAGTGGGGCAGCACACAGTGCCTTTCAGAGGGACAGGTGTTTGGAGGGGTTTCTGGGAACAGCCTGGCAGACGAGGTGTCAGACTAAGGAAAAAAGGGCAAAGGAAAGGGGTCCTCGGGCAGGCAGGGGTAGGTATAGCGGAGGAAGAGTTTAGTAGGGAAGGGAGATAAAAAGGAGTATTCATGGTGGCTCAAGTCTGTCATCCCAGCACTTTGGGAGGCCGAGACGGGCGGATCACGAGGTCAGGAGATCGAGACCATCCTGGCTAACACGGTGAAACCCCGTCTCTACTAAAAAATACAAAAAACCAGCCGGGCGATGTGGCGGGCGCCTGTAGTCCCAGCTACTCGGGAGGCTGAGGCAGGAGAATGGCATAAACCCGGGAGGTGGAGCTTGCAGTGAGCTGAGATCCGGCCACTGCACTCCAGCCTGGGCGACACAGGGGGCCCCCCCTCAAAAAAAAAAAAAAAAAAAAAAAAAAAAAAAGGAGTATTCACCACTGCTACTCCATTTCAGCTGGCAAAAAGTGTCAAGCCTGAGAGGAGTGAGGTGTGGGAAAGGCCCAGACAGGTGAAGCTGTACTTCCGAAGCTGATCAGGGACTGGCAGCAGGTATTCAGGAATCCAGGTCAAATGGGGGGAAGCGACTGGACATGAACTAAAATTGGGTGAGTTAGATTTCCCAGTACGTGGGTACCAGAGACTGAGAGGAAGCCCTGTGCCTGTGCTGAGAACAGTTAAGAATAGGAAAGAGGGTCCCCTGGAACCAGGATCGGGCAAGACGAAGGTATGGGATGGGGGAGTCTGGATAGAGGCCAGGAAGACTGGGAAAAGACCGCAAGTGGTCCCAGAGCAGGGGCAGAGGCCTGGGGGTAGAGAAGCTGGAAGGAGTTGGGTGCCTGGACCATGAAGAGACAGAAGCAGTGAGTGGAACAGGGGACCCAGGAGGCAACATCCCAGCAGACTGTGAGCGGCACTCAGGGAGTGAGTGCCTGGTCTTGAGGTGGGGCCAGAGCCTGACCAGTCAGTTGTGGGTTAGGCGCTCCCCCGTCTGGGGGTCTGATGAAGCCCTCCTAAGGAGATCTCAGGAGCAGGAAGACCCCAGGGTCTGCGGATTCCTGGGACTGAGGAAGGGGCGGGAGGGCATGTCTCAGGTCTGAGAGAATCTGACATGGGCCCAGACACGGGGAGGGTCCCGAGTCTGGTGAAACCAATGGAGAGTGCTTCAGGGTCTGAAAAGGGCTGGTGGCAGTCCCTGATCTAGGGACGACAGGTCATGGGGAGGAAGGACCCAGGCCTTTCCCTAGTCATGAGGGGCTTCCGGATCCCAGACGGGCCGGTCACGGGCTTCAAGTCTGGGAGTGTTCGGGGTCCGCCAGGAGCCGGTCACGACGGGCTCCGGGTCCGAAGGGGCAGGTCAGGGCTGGGGCTCGGAGAGTGTGAGACACAGGCTGGGCAGGTCCCGGGTGGGAAGCGCCGGGTGCAGGAGGCCCCGGCGGCGAGGGCCTGTTCCGCGGCTGCGGGCTCGAGGAGCCGAGGCGGGCACGGCCCGTGAGCGCCGCGAGGAGGCCCTCGGGCCTCGGCCCGGCCCGGCGCTCACCTGCAGCACCACCTCTACGTCGTACGAGTTCCCCTTGCTCTTCTGGTGGCCGCGGAACTTGGAGCCGCTGTAGAGCAGACTGGTGGCCACGCCGGGCTGCTGGGTGTTGATGGGCGGCGGCGGGATGAGTGAGGCCGCGGAGGCAGCCGAGGCACCGGCCGGCGGGGGACACTCGGTGCGGACGGGCATCGCGGGGTCCCCCGGAGCCAGGGCTGGGGGGAGTGGGAGAGGAACCGCCGCCGCCGCGCGGGAGCCGAGGAGGGTGGCGGGGAGGGAGAGGCCGGGGCGCGCACGCGCGGGGTGGGGGCGGGAGGGGCGACCACCCGCCCGCTGCCTGCGGACCAAGCGCTCTGGCCGCCACCGGGACCCAGGGACCTGCGAGCAGGGCCTCCCAGTCCTGAGCTGGGTCCCCCTCCCGACTTGCCCTCGCGCACACATACACACACAGAGACACTCACAGACACACTCACACACGCACACACACACCCCGCCCCTTCCGATTGGCTCGGGCGAGCCTCGGGGGCGGGAGCAGGCTCACGCGGCGCTTCCGCCCATTGGCGGGAGGAGAAAACACGTGGCGGGGTGCGCGAGCGGCCCGCTGGGACTTGTAGTCTCCTCGCCGAGGCACGGCGTGGAGGGGGCGGGGCGAGGTGCATTTGTGATGCTGATTGACTGGGGGTGTGCGCAGGAGGTTTGCGAAGGCGACGGCGCGCCGTTGGTGTCATGCGGAAGATGGCGGCGTCCAAGGGAGGCTGAGGGCTTTGAGGAAGCGGTGAGAGGCTTCCGTACAGCCCGAACGTGCGGTTTTGGGGGTCCCTTCGCTCTGTGTTTCCTGCTCCAGGTTTCGCGTCGCGCATCTTCCCAGACCCTCGGGCGCGATGTGGAGGAGCTGCCTCCGGCTGCGGGACGGGGGACGCCGTCTCCTGAATCGGCCAGCGGGTGGTCCCTGCGCTTCTATGAGTCCGGGGCCAACCATCCCGTCTCCAGCCCGGGCTTACGCCCCGCCGACAGGTAAGACTATGACACGTTCTCTTTTGGGTAGGGGCCGTGCTGGGGTAAGGTGGGCTTCGGGCTTCGGCTATGCAAAGCGAGGTGACTGAGGCAGGGTTCAGGCTCGTGAGGTTATGCAAGCCGGTCAAGTCTTTTTACAGATGAGAAAGTGAAGCCCAGACAAGGGCAGACGACCCGAGAGGGAACAGCGAGTGACGCACGATACAGTAATTGATATTTGGCCTGTGCAGCTTTTCTCAAAGCTTATGGCTGCCCTCCCTAGGAAATAAGGTGTCATCCTTGTTTTCAAAAGGGGAAGTTTGGGCTCTGAATCAGGACTTCGCCTAGGTTCCAGACAGACTCTCTCAGAGATTTGAGGTGTCTGACTGCTTTCCGTGTCTCCACTGCCCAACACAATACCTGCACAGAAGGGACCTAGAACCTGGACCTTCATTCCTCCATCCTGGGCACTTCAGCTGCAGGTTTCCTGACTTTCCCTCCTACCACGACCTCTGCCATCTGCAGCCTTCTCTGCTAAATAGAAATTGACATCTCCACCTTTGACTGTGGAGTCACCTCCACCTCCAACTCTGATGAAGCTCAGAAGTAGTGGCTCTTTCATTGCTGATGGTGAGTGGTGTTAGGGTAAGAGTGAGAATGATTCATTTCAGTGAATGAAAAGCAGTAACACCCTCCCACCATTCAGTTAGTTTTATAGTGCTGGAGGCAGGAGACATGGTAGTCTTTAAGACCCACCTGTATGTATTGGTAGAGAAGCTCAGTTAAACAAAAAAAAGGCCCACCTGAATGATGTTCACTGTTGAGTGCAAAAGGTTATAATATCCTGATAAGGGACATACAAAGAAGCCGTGAAAACACGGAGAATCACCTGCTCCCATCTTGGGGCTGTTCAGGGTTTAGAATGGGTCTTGGGTGAAAGGGCATTTAAGCTGAGCCATGATAGATGAGTAGGAGTTCAGCAAGAAGGTGGGAGAGTGTTGGGTATCTAGAACATGTCCAGGGTGACAGCAAGATATGAGGGACTTTTCCCTAACACTGCCTGCTTTAGAAACTTGAGAACTTCACAGGCAGTTTGGCACTGTGGCAGGAGTGCAAATCTAGGATCTGATACTGGTAAAACCTCTGAGGTCTGTGTGATCTTGGGCATGCAACTACTTCCTCATTTTTCTCCATGAGTTGAAGTACTAGGTTGTCTTTGAGGATCTTTCTGGCTGTCGAATTTTTTTTTTTTCTTTGTCTGTTTCTTTTCTTTTCTTTTTTTTTTTTTTTTGAGACGGAGTCTCACTCTGTCCGGGAGGCTGGAGTGCAGTGGCGCGATCTCGGCTCACTGCAACCTCCTCCTCCCAGGTTCAAGTGATTCTCTGGTCTTAGCCTCCTGAGTAGCTGGTACTACAGGCATCTGCCACCATGCCCAGCTAATTTTTGTATTTTTAGTAGAGATGGAGTTTATATTGGCCAGACAGGTCTCGAACTCCTGACCTTGTGATCTGCCTGCCTCGGCCTCCCAAAGTGCTGGGATTACAGGCGTGAGCCACTGCACCTATCCAAGTTCTATAACTTTATAGAAATGGGGAAGGGGGCTGGATGCAGCAGGGAGCTGAAGTTTCACCTGTAGGACTCAGGGGAAGGGCCTGGAAATGGGCCATGAAGGGCCAGTAAAGAAGAGGAAGGAAGGGCATCCTGGGGAGGCATAGCAAAGGGGACACATTCGGGAGTTCACCAAGTTAGCAAAAAGCAAAGGGTTAATTAATTAATTTTTTAATGTGTGTGTATATATATATTTATTTATTTTGAGATGGAATTTTGCACTTGTCACCCAGGCTAGAGTGCAATGGCGCAATCTTGACTCACTGCAACCTCCGCCTCCCAGATTCAAGCAAGTCTCCTGCTTCAGCCTCCCAAGTAGCTGGGATTACAGGTGTCCACCACCACACCAGGCTAATTTTGTATTTTTAGTAGAGATGGGGTTTCACCATGTTGGCCAGACTGGTCATGAACTCCTGACCTCAGGTGATCCGCCCACCTCAGCCTCCCAAACTGCTGGGATTATAGGCATGAGCCACCACGCCCGACCACAAAGGGTTAATTTAGATTAGTGGATGCTCACTTTACATAATGGTGGCACTTGATCTACTGCTTTCTTTTCCTTTCTGAAAAGCCTAAACTTACTAGTTAGGCTCTTGGAATTACCTGGCACATGGTAGATAGTACCTAAACTTACTAGTTTAGGCTCTTGGAAGTACCTGGCACATGGTAGGCAGTCAAATGTGAAAGAAAATAGGAATGAATGAATGAGGAGGGAGGTGCAGAAATCAGGCCCATGTGTGCTCTTTAAAGATATTACCAGTTGTGAGATACTTGTGCGTGTTTGGAGTAGTAGAAGATTAAACCCCAGTGGGTTCTTCTCAATGAACACTTCAGTCAGCAAGCTGATTGAACTTGGCCACTTAGGAATGGCCATGCCGTTGAAGGTTATCAGAGGGAGAGGAGGAGTTTAGGAAAGGGTCACTGAGGTGTTGGAGAAGGAGATATTGCAACAAGAAGACCTCTGTGAGGCTGTTGTGGCAGTTTAGTTCTGCACCAGCTTATCGGAGGTCTGTTGACTCCCAGAGTGGGAGGTATTCTGGAGAAACCTATCTATTCAGCATATCTCGCTGAATGCGACTGCCTGATGAAGTCAAGACTAGAAGTCTTGTCTCTGCTATTTACCAGTTGTCTGTCACCTAGACAAGACGTTTAGCTTCTCTATCACCTCCGAGGCATTAGCTGCCTTGTCATTCTCATAGAATCGTGGTGTGGATTGAGGGATATTACGTAGTCTGTAGATCAGGGTCCAGCCTGCCACCTGTTTTTGTAAGTAGAGTTTTATTGGAACACAGCCACATGCATTCATTTCCATATCATATATGGCTACTTTCACTACAGTGGCAGAGTTGAATAGTTGGAACAGTTATTGTATGGCTTGCAAAACTTAGAATATTTACTATCTGATTCTTTGCAGAAAAATTTTACTAAATGTTGTACATTTGGCCTGAAGGAATTTTTTTTTTTTTTTTTTTGAGACGGAGTCTTGCTCTGTCGTCCAGGCTGGAGTGCGGTGGCGCGATCTGCACTCACTGCAAGCTCCGCCTCCCTGGTTCATGCCATTCTCCTGCCTCAGCCTCCCGTGTGGCTGGAACTACAGGCGCCCGCCACTGCACCCGGCTAATTTTTGTATTTTTAGTAGAGATGGGGTTTCACCATGTTAGTCAGGATGGTCTCGATCTCCTGACCTTGTGATCTGCCCGTCTCGGCCTCCCAAAGTACTAGGATTACAGGCCTGAGCCACCGCGCCCAGCCTGGCCTGAAGGATTTTTTTAAACAGCTTTATTGAGATATTTACTCGCTATACAATTCATTTACTTGAAGTGTAAATATAATAGTTTTTAGTATATTTAAAGAATTGTACAGCCATTGCCACAATCAATTTTAGAACATTTTTATCACCCCTAAAAGAAACCTGTACCCTTCAGCTGTCATCCTTACTCCTTCTATGCCTTGGCAACTACTACTTTCCTTTGTTCTTTTATAGATTTCCCTGTTTGGGGCATTTCATAGAAATAGAATGTGATCTTTTTTGACTCACTTTTTCACTTAGCATCATGTTTTAAAGCTTGTTTGTTTGTTTGTTTGTTTGTTTGTTTTAAAGAGATTGGGTCTCATTCTGTTGCCCAGGCTGGAGTGTAGTGGTACCATCACAGATCACTGTAACCTCAAACTCCTGGGCTCAAGTGATCCTCCTGCCTCAGCCTCCCAAGTAGCTAGGGCTACAGGCACACACCACCATGTCCAGTTAGTTTTTTAGTGTTTTGCAGAGATGGGGTCTTGCTCAGGCTGGCCTCAAACTGCTGGCCTCAAGTGATCCTCCTGCTTCGGCCTCTCAGAGTGCTGAGATTACAGGAGTGAGCCACCACACCTAAACGTTTTTAAGTTTTATCCACCTTGTATCATATATCAATACTCCATTCTTTTTTTTTTTTTTTGAGATGGAGTCTCGCTCTTTTGCCCAGGCCGGAGTGCAGTGGCGCGATCTCGGCTCACTGCAAGCTCTGCCTCCCGGGTTCACGCCATTCTCCTGCCTCAGCCTCCTGGGTAGCTGGGACCACAGGTGCCCGCCACCGCGCCCGGCTAATTTTTTATATTTTTAGTAGAGACGGGGTTTCACCGTGTTAGCCAGGATGGTCTCGATCTCCTGACCTTGTGATCCACCCGCCTCGGCCTCCCGAAGTGCTGGGATTACAGGCATGAGCCACCGCACCCGGCCCACTCCATTCTTCTTTATTGCCAAACGATATTCCATTGTATGTGTAAATATGCCACATTTCATTTATCCATTCATCCATTGGTGGACACAGGGTTGTTTCTACCTTTTGGCTAATATGAATAACACTACTATGAACATTCACGTACAAGTTTTTGTGTGGACATATGTTTTCATTTCTCTTGGGTATATAACTAAGAGTAGAATTATTGGGTCAAAGGTAACTCTGTTTAACTTTTGGAGGATCTGCCAGACTATTTTCCAAGGTGGCTGTGCCATTTCACATTTCCACCAGCAGTGTTTGAGGGGTCCAGTTTCTCTACATCTCAACAACACTTGTTGTTGTCTTTTTTATTATAGCTGTCCTAAAGGGTTTGAAGTGGTATCTCATTGTGGTTTTGATTTGCATTTCTCTGATGAATTGAGTATCTTTTCACGTGCTTAATGGCTGTTTGTATATTTTCTTTGAAGAAACGTCTATTCAGATCCCTTGACCATGGTTTTTTTAAAGAGAGGAGCTCTTGCTCTGTCACCCAGGCTGTAGTGCAAGTGGCACAGTCACAGCTCACTGCAGCCTCAACCTCCTGGGCTCAAGTGAGCCTCACACCTCAGCCTCCAAAGTAGCTGGAAACTACAGGTGTGTGCCACCATGCCCAGCTAATTTTTAATTTTTTTTGTACAGACAGGGTCTTGCTATGTTGTCCAGGCCAGTCTCAAACTCCTGGAATCAAGCGATCTTCCCACCTATGTCTCTCAGAGTTGAACATTTTTAAATTGGGTTATTTGTTGTTGTTTTTGAGACAGGGCCTTGGTCTGCTGCCTAGGCTAGTGTTCATGGCTCACTGCAGCCTCAACCTCCCAGGTTCAGGTGATCCTCCCACTTCAGCCTTCTGAGTAGCTGGGACTACAGGCGTGCGCCACCATGCCTGGCTAATTTTTGTATTTTTGTAGAGATGGGGTTTTGCCATGTTGCTCAGGCTGGTCTTGAACTCTTGGACTGAAGCGATCCACCTGCCTCAGCCAGCCAAAGTGCTGGGATTACAGGCGTGAGCCACCATGCCCAGCCTATTTGTCTTTTTGTTATTGAGTCGTAAGAGTTCTTTATGTATTTGGCCTGAAGAATTTTGATACCTGAAAAGAGTTGGTTAGAGCCGCCCTAGGATTACAGATGGACCTGGATGTAGAATTTCACCTTTAAGGTTTAAGGCCCACCAGATGGCACTGTTTTAAAAGATAAAGGCGTTGAGACAGCTCTGAAACCAGTACTTCCTCTTCTTGGTGCACTGTGGGAGTTGTGGTTCCTGAGGCTGGTAATCTTTCTAAAGAGAAGGCCAGTTCTACTTGATCCTACGAAGCTAGGCTGATTTTTTTTCATGTTTAAAGACAGGGTTCCCATTGATGTCTGTTAACCTTGTATTCACTGAGAACATGGGAGCTTCGTGGGTTTCTGGTGGTCTCACATTTTGTCTTATGTGACATTGTTGGGGAACATGGATCCCCCAAATGAATTGTCCAGATCGTGTTCGTTCTTTTTTTTTTTTCTGAGACAGAGTCTCTCTCTTTCACCCTGGCTGGAGTGCAGTGGCACAATCTTCGTTCACTACAACCTCCACCTCCTGGGTTCAACTGATTTTCAGCCTCCTGAGGAGCTGGGATTACAGGCAGGCACCACCATGCCTTGCTAATTTTTTTATTTTTTGTAGAGACAGGATTTCACCATGTTGGTCAGGCTGCTCTCGACCTCCTGGCTTCAAGTGATCTGTCCCCCTCGGCCTCACAAAGTTCTGGGATTACAGGTGTGAGCCACAACGCCTGGCCCCAGATCATGTTCTTGTGTGCCTATGTGGAGCCTTTACTTGGTTCCCTTTGCTGTCTTTGCAGTGATCTACATGTCCCCCAGGTGTGGTCCCACTGCCCTCTCTAGCATCTTAGAGAATCTTGCGTTCTCCTTCTGACCATCTGTCTAGTCCACAACTGCTGTCTCGAAGCCTTGGTCCTTCATGCAGCCGGTTTCTTCTTCTGGAAACTACTTCCACAGCCCCCTCCACAAAAAAAAAAAAAAAAAAAATGAATCAATCATAAAGTTTGGTACCTCCTGCCTCACCTTCAAGTTGCAATCTAATTCTGACTAATCATTCCACTTGCCTGCCACATCACAGAAGTCACCTTATTGTTTACCTGGTTTAGCGGTCTGTATTCCTACTACACAGTAAGTGGCTGGAGGGTGCAGAGATGAGCTTTGCACATGTCCCATTCCCAGGACTTACCATATGTCCTGGAACATGATCAGTACTCACCAAAGCTTGTTCCAAGACACGTTTGCCCCTCCACGTGTCAGTGGGTCATTCAGGAGAGCCCCTGGCTAAAACACATCTATGTGCACCTGCCTTCTAATCTGAGGACTGGCAGCCCCTGGGCTCCTTTTGCCCTTCTGCTGTCTCATTTTCTGCATGGTTTTCTTCTGCTTTAAGCAATTTTGGTGGCTCCTTCCCTGCCTTCCGTCCATCCCACTCCCGTCTAGTTTTTTCTTATTCAGTTACAGAAGTGACCCTGGCCAAGAAAACAGAAAAAAGACTTCCCTCTTGGGAAACCTGGCTGTCCCAGGAGCTTGTGAAGGTTCAGCCCTGTGCTGGCAGTTCCTGCCCTGAGTCTGTTCCTCTGGCCCAAGTCTCTTGGGTTCACTTCCCAGACCAGGCCTGGAAGTATGCTAGAGTGCTCACTCTTGTATACTTGTACACTCTTGCTGGCACTTCCTGCTGACGTGGGAAGACCCTTTCCCTAGTGTTGAGTCAGAGCTTTCAGAGCCCTTCCCAACTTCCTGCCTGGCCTGGTTTTATACATGCTGCCCAGCCTGTTGCATTGAAAACACGGAGGACATGGTCTACCTCACTCCAGACCTGAGAGAGGAAAGGAGGCCTCCAGACCCATGTCTAGCCTGCCATTTGGATATGACCAGGACAGCATGTAAAGAAATTTAAAAGCACTAGGGTGCTGTAAACTTCCAATTTTAGTGTAAAACATACGAGATAATCAGTGTTGTGATTTCAGATGAAGGTGGTAAATCGTGCCATAGAAAGACAGCATCATCTTGGTGGACAGATCTGATCCTAAAAAAAAACTTTAAACTCCCTGTCTATTTTATTGACTCTTGTATCCCAAGTGCCAAGGCACATGGTAGACACACAAATATTTTTGTGGGAAAAATATTTGGGCCTTAGTGTAGTAAGTGCAAATGTGGAATGCAATTTTGGGCCCTCTGTCTTTAAGTATTAGTGATAGCAAATGAGATTTATAGAAAACTGATATGATGGGAAAACATAAAAATATTTGGAGTAAAACCAGTTGCCCGCTTCTCCATTACCCTTCCCTCTCCATGCACACATACTAATTTCTCCTCAATTTTCATGGTCTGTTTGAACTAATGAAATTTTAACTTAAGCTTGTTTATTATTATTGTTGTTGTTGTTGTTGTTTTGTTTGCTTGTTTCAAGAGACGGTCTTGTTCTGTTGCCCAGATTGGAGTGCAGTGGTGACATCACAGCTCACTGCAGCCTCAGCCTCCTGGGCTTAAGCAATCCTCCTGCTTCAACCCCCCTAGTAGCTGGGACTACAGGCATTTGCTGCCATGCCTGGCTAATTTTTTATTTTTGTATTTTTTTTATTATTATTTTTTGAGATGGAGTCTTGCTCTGTCACCCAGGCTGGGGTGTAGCGGCACAATCTCAGCTCACTGCAGCCTCTGCCTCCTGGGTTCAAGTGATTCTCCTGCCTCAGCCTCCCGAGTAGCTGGGATTACAGGCATGCGCCACCATACTTGCTAATTTTTGTATTTTTAGTAGAGACAGGGTTTCACCATGTTGGCCAGGCTGGTCTCGAACTCCTGACCTCAGGTGATCCACCTGCCTCCGCCTCCCAAAGTGCTGGGATTACAGCATGAGCCACTGCACCCAGCCTTATTTTTGTATTTTTTGTAGAGATGGGGTCTCATCATGTTGCCTAGCTTGGGTTTTGAACTCCTGGCCTCAAGCAGTCTTCCCACCTTGGCCTCCCAAAGTGCTAGGATTATAGGCATGAGCCACTGTGACCAGCCTTTTTTTTTTTTTTTTTTTTTTTTTTTTAAAAGCATTAAAAGCAAATTATTTGGCTGGGCATGGTGGCTCATGGGTGGGATCACTTGAGGTCAGGAGTTCGAGGCCAGTCTGGCTGGCATGGCAAAACCCTGCCTCTACTAAAAATTCAAAAATTAGCCTGGAGTGTTGGTGCACGCCTATAATCCCAGCTACTCAGGGAACTGAGGCAGGAGAATTGCTTGAACCCAGGAAGCGGAGGTTTCAGTGAGCTGACATTATACCACTACACTCCAGCCTGGGCAAGAGAGTGAGATGCCATCTCAAATAAATAAATAAATAAATAAAGCAAATGATTTACTCTTTTTTCCTCCACATGCTGCATCATTATTTCCAATAAATAACTTCAGTTAGGGCCTCCGAAGACTTTGAGAACTCAGTGAACACATGAACGAGTGAACAAACGAATGAATGAATGAAAGTTTTATGTTTGTCACAGATGTGAGAGACTAAGTTATAGCTTATAGCTTCCAAAATGTGACTTCTTTGTTATCAGTTGAGGGAATCTGCATAATTCCTTAGAAGTACTCTTGATTGTTAATCCCTCCAGGGTAAAAGAAGGAGACTGTTTCATGTAAGATTTTATTCAAGTTAATTTCAAAAGAAAACACAGGACACAGATTTTCCCTTTCTTGAAGGAAATGTTTGGAGTTCCTGTTGGATACATAAGCAAGCTGGTTAATTAGGTTAATTAATTGGAGAGAGGGGATGGCAAATGCCCTTGGGAGCTCTGCATCCTGCCTATGTACCACACACGCACACCCTGCGCAGGCACACTGGCTTTCCACTCACTCCTTAGAGGCATCAGAGTCTTGGCTGAAATGAGTCTCTAGCTTTGTCCCACTCAGACACTGACTTTAGGTTTTTGCTGGCATGGGATGGCACTGGTGGTGGGGAGGGTGGGAAAGCATGCCGAGATGCTCCTGATCAGACTTGTCCCCAGGCTGGGGGGTTGGCAGAGGCATGACCAGCATGTCCTGTTCCTCCCTCCTCCCTGGAGATCGGATGCTCCCTTCCCCCAGCTTTAATCAGAAGCAGTTGATTATACCATGTTGAGTAGGGCAGACCTTGAATGGGGATATGAAAATCAAGCCAATCAATCAACATTAGCAGTAATGATACAAGCTGGTCCTGTCGCTTCCTGAGTTGTCTCAACGTTATTTTAAACTGCCTCTTTGAAAAATCTTTCTTACAGAAAGGAAGAGGTTTTATCAGAATGTCAGCATCACACAGGGTGAAGGTGAGTGTCTGAAATTTTGACTGCCTCTTTTTTTTTTTTTTTTTGTGAATGATCGGGAACATTTTTCATCTTCAGCTGGTTCCGTGGTGAGATTATCCTTCCTGCTTTTGTCAGATATATTTCTGTAAGGGACTCAGAGTTGGCTTTGTCTGCACCAATTCAAGTGGCTAAATATAGGAATGGTCACTTGATTCCACTTAACAAATCCCTGAGAGTTTTTCATTTGATCTTTCAAGGTGGCTTTGAGATAAACCTGGACCAGAGGAAGCTGAAAACTCCCCAAGCCAAGCTCTTTACCGTCCCCAGTGAGGCCCTGGCCATTGCAGTGGCCACTGAATGGGATTCCCAGCAGGATACCATCAAGTACTACACCATGCACCTGGTAACAAGTTCATAGTGCGAATCTGGACCCTGAGACCCACCCAGGGCTTCCTAGGGTAGATCCCTTACCAAATTCTGACAAGGCCCTGGGGGATGGTCCTTTGCCTACCTGGGCCCCAGGTGTTCACCTCCTCTCGAGTCACTAATGTGCTAAACTCTTTCCTTGTCTGGCCTGGCTCCTTGCAGTTCTCTCTCCTAGGAACACTGTGCTGGATGACTGCTTTCTGCTTTGGTATCAGGACAGATGTCACCTTCACTGACTACCCAGCTCTCTTATTTTCTATGACAGCAGCTGGTCATTTGTTTTGTCAGCACTTAGACAATTTATAATTGTTTTATGTTTGCACATTTATTGTCTCTCTGTCTCTACTGCCTGGGTAAGCAACAGAAAGGCAGGAGCCATGTCTGTTTTACTCACCAGTATCTGGACAGCCACTAGCAGGTAGTTTAGTTGGTACTTAATAAATATTAGTTGAATATAAGATCCACTGGAGGCAGATGGGTGAGGTGAGGAAGACTCCCTATAGAACCAGAGCCCCTCGTCCACACCAGAGTGGCTCATCTAGGCACCAAGGCTGCCTGGGGAAGGAAGGGCCCAGCCAGACTCTTTGGTCCAGCCTCTGCAGCTTCTAGACTGTAAACTTGGCCAGGTTGCTGCCCCTTGCATAGCCCCGTATTCCCCATCTACTAAGATGAGTGATAATAGTACCCACCTCACAGAGCCATGGTCAGGATGAGATGAGATGATGCCAGAAAGCCCTTGGCATGGTCCCCAGCACTGATTGGGCACTGAGTCAGTGTAGGAGTCAGCTGCTGTCATCCCAGCCGCTGCTGTGCTCAACCTTTGCAAACTCACATGGGCCTCCTGCCAACATCACAGCCTGCTGAGGTGCTAGCCTAATCCTTGACAACCTAGTGAAATTGGGGTGATTGGGGCTACAAACGAATAGGGTAACCTAAGCAGCCTGTTATTGACAAGGTAAGTCTGGAAAAAAATAATCTTTTTTTTTTTTTTAAACAGTCTTGCTCTGTTGCCCAGGCTAGAGTGCAATGGCGCAATCCCAGCTCACTGCAACCTCTGCCTCCTGGATTCCAGCGATTCTCCCGTCTCAGCCTCCCAAGTAGCTGCGATTACAGGCGCCCACCACCATGCCTGGCTAATTTTTGTATTTTTAATAAAAATGGGGTTTCACCATGTTGGCCAGGCTGGTCTTGAACTCCTGACCTCAGGTGATCTACCCATCTCAGCCTCCCAAAGTGTTGGGATTACAGGCATGAGCCACCACACTTGGCCAAAACAAATAATCTTAGTCCTGATTTGCATGGTCTGTTTCCCTGCTTTCTAAGGTGTAAGGGAGGCGGCTGGTAAAGGTTTCCAGTCAGATTTGAGCTCCATCACTGATACGTGTCTTATTAACTGTATTTGATGATGTACTTAACCTAACCTGTCTGGGCCTCAGTTTTCACATCCCAGATGGGCATAATAATAGTACCTATTCCAAAGGGTTGTTGTGAGGATTAAATACACTAGAACCTGGTAATAATGTGACTGTGGGGAGGTTCACTAATCATGGGGCTGCTGCAAGCTTCCCTCAAGTCCTGTGAGCATCGACAGAAAGCATTTGGCATGGAGCCTGGCTGTGGCGCACTCTCAGTAGCTGTGCTGCTGCTCCGGTAGTGCAGATGCCTCTGGTGCAGGGCTGTGCTGTGGTGCTCTCTGCTATGTGTCAGATGACGTGCCCTCAGGAAAGCAGGGCTTTTGTCTGAGCCCCACAGGCAGTGACAGGGTGGTTTTTGCCTTTGATTCAGACCACATTGTGCAACACATCCTTGGACAACCCAACCCAGAGAAACAAGGATCAGCTGATCCGGGCAGCCATGAAGTTTCTGGACACTGACACCATCTGGTAATGGAATTCAGATGGGCATTCCCCTTGGATTGAGACAGTCCCTGGGGCTATTTTTCCTGATTTGCCCAGATGGTTATCAGTGGAAGAAGAAACCCTCTCCATTTATTGCAAGGAGAGGGAAGGTGGCCCACTTGACTTTGGCATTTGGCTGCTCTGTAGCCCCTTAGGAGGAGGACTGCTCAGGCTACAATGGTGTTAGAACATGGCCACCCCTCTTCTCTAGCCTAGAAGCTGCTCCTTAGGCTGGGAGGGTGGTTATGCAGCTCTTGCAGGTGCCGTGACCACAGGCCCCTTAGGCCTGGGGGCGCCTGTGACCTTAAACTTCTGCCCACTGACACTTTCTCAGGTAGACATCCTTGGCACTATGGATGCTGATAATTAGGAGTGTCCTTCTCCAGTTCTGAATTCTCCTCTGTGTCTGTATATCTTGGCTAATTGGTCAGTGTTGCCGAAGGAAAGTTGAGAAACAATGGAAATGATTGAGCAGCACGGTGCCTGCTAGCCCAAGTGCTCTAGGATCCTGAGTCATCTCACGATGACACAGGAAGTCAGCACTGATGACTGGAGGCATGCTTTCGAAGGGGGTGGCCTATAGCTAGTGGGAAAGCCCACTCCATTTATATTAGGTTCACTTGACTTCAGGGAGCAGAAACCCATTCAATCTAGCTCAGACAAAAAGGGGATTCTTGAAAACTATACAGGGATCCTGACAGGAAATGAAGGACGATCGGGCCACCAGGAAAGGAAGCTGTAAGATCCAATGTCAGAGCTCCTCCCTGTGCCCTACTGGGGTGAGCGGAAGGTGAGGGAGGAAAGGTTGGCTGCCCATCTGCCCCTCCCAGCATAACTCATGGCCTCTCTTCCCCACGTTGCTCACACAAGACGGTGGATTTCCATAATGCCCACTTGGGTTCCCATCCCATGAAACCCTGCAGCTCAGCTCCTCTCAGCTGACTCATGCCTGTGTCTCTTGGTCAAACAAATGGCACAGCCTGGCCTCTAGCTTGGTCCCATCAGGTCTGGCATCTGTGCCAGCAGCTGCATCTGTAGCCAGGAGGTGGATGGGCTTGTGAGGTGTAAACAGGCTATTTTGGTCTGTGACCAGGGGCACAGTCTCTTGGAGGGGGTGAGGGTAGAGATGCAAAGACTGAGCATCTGGCGCAGCATTCCTGTTCAGCATCCAGGTCAAGCGGGTGTGGACCCAGGGTTGCAGTTAGTAGATTGGATCTGCTTTAGAATGACAGTAACATAGCGCAGCAAGCTTGGACCTGTCAAATATTTGGGGGCATTTAGGGTAGTAGTTCTCAAACTCAGGCTTACATTAGAATCCCCTAGAGGGCTTGTTAAAACAGATTGCTGGGCCCCACTTCCAGAAGTTCTGATTCTATAGGGATGCAGCCTGAGAATGTGTATTTCTAACAAGTTCCCAGGTGATGGTGGTGCCAGGGCCACACTTTGAGAACCACTGCTTTAGGGGAAAAGACTTGTGGGACTGGGATGGTGGTGGTGAAATTTTTGTTGTTGTCCTTTGTGTTTTTCCTTTTCTGTCACTGAATGAAGGAATTGTACTTTTTTATTAATGAAGGTGATTTTTACAATGAATTAGCTACAGGGTGGAGGAGCCTGAGACATTAGTGGAACTTCAAAGGAATGAGTGGGATCCAATCATCGAATGGGCTGAAAAAAGGTAAGATGTACAGCCCTGCAGAAAGCACTGACTGGGCACCTGCGTTGGTGGAGTGTTGGGGTCAGGAGACCACGCTGGAAAACTAGTGCCCTTAGCTAGTCAGCTTTCTGATTTCAGAGCACTCGTGGGATTCGGCTCCCCTCATATGATCAGGGATACGGTCATCTTGGGAAAAAAGCACCCATTTCAGCCACTAAGTACAGCACACCTGCTGTAGCAGTTCATGAAATATAAGGGCAGCTCTGTGTCCTTGGAGAAGCAGTGGAGTCCCCAGGCCACCTTCTGCCAGCGGGTCAGAGCAACAGTGTCGGTTTGAATCCCAGCCCTGCTAGAGACTCAGTTGTGTGACTTGGCTAATGAGTTGATCTCTCTGAGCTTCAATTTCCTTGTCCATAAATGGGGCTAATAATCCCTACCTCTCAGGGTTTGAGGAGGAGTAAATGAATTGATGCATGTAAAGGCTTAGCATCCTGCTTAGCACACAGTAAATGTTCAAATTTTAGCAGTGATTTTCATCTTTGTCACAATTGCTGTACTATTAAATCAAATAACAGAACAACACGTATGATATGTATGCACTTGGAGAAAAGTCTGGATAGCTTCCTGCAAATTACAGGTAACATCCAATGGATATGTAGCTTCCAGGAATTGATACGAAATATTTTTCATTAATAGGAAGACTCGAGTGCAAAGTTGAATGGATTATTGATGTGGTGGCAAAATAAATTCGATTTCATTTGATCCCAAGGGAAATTTGGAAGGGCTGGCTTTCATGGTAGTACCTTGACCATGGTATTTTCTAAGCTTGCAAGGCGTATTTCTTGGTATAGCATTTTTCACAAAAGTGATGTTACCAATCAGTTTACTGATTTGCCACATGCTGCCCGATGCTCACAATGTGGCAGGTGTCCTTGGGTCTTAAAGGAGAAGGCAAAGGCAGTGCTCTAAAGACCAGACTACAGTACTTTGTGGGAATGTGACAATACAGTGTCATTTCAGAATCTAATGAAATATAATAATTTAGGTGCCTAGAGATCTTTGCTATAGTATAAAATCATCAGATTCTTGTGGCAGGAAATACCCTATCCTTAAGAGTTTATGGAAAAACTTAGCCATTTCCTACAGTCCATTTGTACTATTAGGAATTTCAGCAAGGATTTTTTTTTTTTTCCTTTTCTTTCTTGACACGGAGTCTCGCTCTGTCGCCCAGGCTGGAGTGCAGTGGTGCGATCATGGCTCACTGCAACCTCCACCTCTTGGATTTAAGTGATTCTCGTGCCTCAGCCTCTCGAGTAGCTGTGATTACAGGTGCCCACTACACCCAGCTAATTTTTGTGTTTTTAGTAGAGATGGAATTTCACTGTGTTGGCCAGGCTGGTCTCGAACTCCTGACCTCAAGTGATCGCCCGCCTCAGTCTCATGAAGTGCTGGGATTACAGGCGTGAGCCACTGCACCTAGCCCTCGAACTCCTGACCTCAAGTGATCACCCGCCTCAGTCCATGAAGTGTTGGGATTACAGGCGTGAGCCACTGCACCTAGCCAGACTTTTTTCTGGTACCACAGGTACCCACCACCACACCTGACTGATTTTTTTTTTTGAGATGGAATCTCGCTCTGTTGCCCAGGCTGGAGTGCAGTGGCACGATCTCAGCTCACTGCAAGCTCCGCCTCCCAGGTTTTATGCCATTCTCCTGCCTCAGCCTCCTGAGTAGCTGGGACTACAGGCGTGCACCACCTATGCCCGGCTAATTTTTTTTGTATTTTTAGTAGAGACGGGGTTTCACTGTGTTAGCCAGGATGGTCTTGATCTCCTGACCTCATGATCCACCCACCTTGGCCTCCCAAAGTGCTGGGATTACAGGCGTGAGCCACTGCGCCCGGCCCCAGCCGATTTTTTTTTAAATTAAAAGATTACAAAAATTATTTTTATCCCCCATTGTGTTTTTCTGTTTTATTTAGTTATGATTATTCTTGAAAATGTATCTTCTTGGCCAGGCGCAGTGGCTCACGCCTGTAATCCCAGCACTTTGGAAGGCCGAGGCGGGCAGATCATGACATCCTGGCTAACACGGTGAAACCCTGTCTCTACTGAAAACAGAAAAAATTAGCCGGGCATGATGGCGGGCGCCTGTCGTCCCAGCCACTCAGGAGGCTGAGGCAGGAGAATGGTGTGAACCTGGGAGGCAGAGCTTGCAGTGAGCCAAGATCACGCCACTGCACTCCAGCTTGGGCGACAGATCGAGACTCCCTCTCAAAAAAAAAAAAAGATATCGTCTCTTGAAGCCAGCACATGTCCCATAGACCACAGACCCAAAACAATGCCTTATGTAAGGTAGAGGCTTGATAAATGTTTGAAAAAATAAGACGGCCATGGTGCCTCACGCCTGTAATCCCAGCACTTTGGGAGACTGAGGCAGGCGGATCACTTGAGGTCAGGAGTTTGAGACTAGCCTGGCCAACAAGGTGAAACCTCATCTCTACTAAAAATACAAAAATTAGTTAGGCGTGATGGCAGGCGCCTATAATCCCAGCTACTCAGGAGGCTGAAGCAGGAGAATGACTTGAACCTGGGAGGTGGAGGTCGCAGTGAGCTGAGATCGTGCCACTGCACTCCAGCCTGGGGGAGAGAGCAAGAAAGACTTCATCTCAAAAAAAAAAAAAAAGTTTGAAAAAATGACTGCTGACTGGTCATGGTGGCTCATGGCTGTAATCCCAACACTTTGGGAGGCCGAAGTGGGCAGATTGCTTGAGTCCAGGTGTTTGAGACCAGCTCGAGCAACATGGTGAAACTCTGTCTCTACAAAAAATTAGCTAGGTGTGGTGGCACATGCCTGTAGTCCCAGCTACTTGGGAGACTGAGATGGGAGGATTGCTTGAGCCTGAGAGGTTGAGACTGCAGTGAGTCAAGATCATGCCAGCACACTCCAGCCTGGGTGACAGAGTGAGACCGTGTTTCAATAAAAAAGAAGAAAACCTCCATGATATATGACATATATAAACATTATTTTAAGGAAAACCATTTTAAATATTGTTTTTCACTTTTATATGGCCTCAAATGTGAAAAACTTTTTAAAGAGATGTAAAAGGCACATGGCCTTTTGATGGAGATTCCAGGTGAATGAATGAGCATTTCAAGCAGCTGCATATAACTGAGCCCCAGCTCACATGACTCAGGAACTATCCCTTCATTCAGCACAGTTTCTTGGTCCTCTAAGTTTGCTCTTGAGGGACAGAAAATCAGATCGGGGCCAGGGGCGGTGGCTCACGCCTGTAATCCCAGCACTTTGGGAGGCCAAGGTGGGCGGATCACCAGGTCAAGAGATCGAGACCATACTGGCCAACATGGTGAAACCCTGTCTCTACTAAAAATACAAAAAATTAGCCGGGTGTGGTGGTGGGCGCCTGTAGTCCCAGCTACTCGGAAGTTGAGGCAGGAGAATGGCGTGAACCCGGGAGGTGGAGCTGGCAGTGAGCCGAGATCGCGCCACTGCACTCTAACCTGGGCGACAGAGTGATACTCTGTCTCAAAGAAAAAAAAAAAAAAAATCAGGTCAGGAGGCCGCTGACCATGGTGGCAGTTGCTCCTGGAGGCCTCAAGACTAGCTCCTTGGCCAATGCACACACATGCTCTGAAGTTTAGGCCTTTGTTTCTAGTCAAAAGGTGGGCTGCTCTTGAGCTACAGCATGACAGAGACACGCCAAAGCCCTTTTCCTTTCAGATACGGCGTGGAGATCAACTCCTCCACCAGCATAATGGGACCCAGCATCTCCGCCAAGACTCGGGAGGTGCTCGTCAGCCACCTGGCATCTTATAACACGTGGGCTTTACAAGGTATGTATAGAGTTTCCTGTGGGCTTGGCAGGTGGCTGTGAAGGCCATCAGTGTCTGAAGCCTGTGCTTGCCCCTCTCCAGGTGCTGTGAGTAGAGAGGCACAGGGGCGTTCTGGGCTAGCTGAGTGTGGAGGCTGGCTGGCTCTGATGCTAGCCCATCACTCGGTGCTCTAGGCTCACACTTTTCCACCTTTGACTCTCCAGCGGAAGTCTTGAGTTCAATCTCATTGCCCTGGCTTGGGTCACATGTCCATCCATGAACCAATCACTAGACTGGTGGGGGAAGCTCTGATTTGCCAAGTTCGGGTCATGTGTCTCACTGGGTAAGAGCAGAGGAGGATGGGAAAACCAGAGTGCTCTTTCAGAAGAGTGAGCCAATCGCTGGATGGCTCTTTGCACCACTCACTCCTGTTCTCTGCTAGGGCTGCTGGGACTCACAAGGGGTAGGTTGTGGCAGCTGCTCTGTTTTGGGTCCTGACTTGGCTTGTGTCCCTGCAGGGATTGAGTTTGTAGCTGCCCAGCTCAAGTCCCTGGTCCTGACCTTGGGCCTGATTGACCTGCACCTGACCGTGGAGCAGGCTGTGCTGCTGTCACGCCTGGAGGAGGAGTACCAGGTGAGGAGCAGCACCTCAGGTCCCGCCTTCCCCTTCCTAGTTCAGACTCACTTTGGGGGAACAGCTAACCCATCTGAAATACAGTTATGCATAGTTGGCTTTCATTACTTTTGTGTACATGCAGAAATGAAAATCAAGGACCAGCAGAAGTATTGTCAAGTAGGCCTGGCGTGGTGGTTCACACCTGTAATCCTAGCACTTTGGGTGGCCGAGGAGGGTGGATCATTTGAGGTCAGGAGTTTGAGACCAGCTTGGGCAACGTGGCAAAACCCCATCTCTATAAAAATACAAAAATTAGCGCCCATAGTCCCAGCTGCTTGGGAAGCTGACGTGGGAGGATTGCTTAAACCTGGGAGGTGGAGGTTGCAGTGAGCCAAGATTGTGCCACTGCATTCTAGCCTGGGTGACAAAGTGAGACCCTGTCTCAAAAAAAAAAAGTAAGATAATAACATTTAAAAAATAACAGTAAATGCTACCACTGTGTTCCTGCACTGTATCCATCTCACCTCCTCTCAGCAGCCTGGGCAGGTAGGAGCTGTGGTTATCTCTATTTTACACAGGAGGAAACTGAGGTGCAAGGTTGCACCTCTGGAAAATGTGCCAGCTAGGGCTTGAAGCCAGGTCTGGTGATTTTAGGGCCAAGACTGTCAGGCCTCACTCTGCACAAGGAGGTTCACGGGTGGATAAAGACCATCTGGGCTTGATAAAGCCTGCAGAACAGGCCCTGCCAAGATGACTGAGAACCCGTTTGTGCTCCTACATCAGCTAAGCCTTCATACCCTGACATTTTATCTGGCTGGCAGAGGAGCATAGGGGTAGCTGCTGTTTGTACCCAAGTTTTGATTTAGTGGGCTCAGAATTAAGGTTTTGCTACAGTATGGTTTGCATTTTTTAACTCTGAAAATTATGGCCATCTTTGCAGTTATTCCACCAACCTCAGAAGGTTAATTGCTATTATGAATTGGTCTCTAGTATGGTAAAAAACAAACAGAAAAAAGCTTTTTGTGATATATTTCCCTAGTTCTTATAGTCTTCTGCTCAGAAAAATGCCAGGGAAAAAAACTATTTTTGTATAACAAAGTAGGCCTGCTACTATTCTCTGGATGTCAGAACCGATTACATAGGAAGGGGGTGACTTGTAGGGCTGGTGGGAAGCCAGTCTGGGCACTGCTTCTGACTATGGGACCCAAGCCAGGCCATCATTCTCTGAACTTTGGTTTCGATCCTCTACGAACAGAGGAATAACCTGAATTATGTATGTGATGGTATACAATGAAAGTATGGAACACTCTTCAGATGACTTATTACAATTGTACAGTTTGGGACCAGGCAGCCCAGAAGTTCAAATAGCTTGTGTAGCATGGCAGATTCTGAGTTCCTGGATGAGCTGGGGCAGCCAGGCCAGGCCTCTTGGGCAACTAGTCAGGGAGGAGCCAGCAGGGTCTGGTTGGAGTGACACTGTCTGGACAGTCACACCGTGTGTCTGAGGGTTCCTCCCTCTTGTTTTTAGAGCTCCAGACAGAGAATCTGCAACGTGTCCCCAGTGTGCAGAGCAGAGGCATCTGTAGTTCTGTGACTACCACAAGAGTTAGAGTTGAAGCCACTGCATGGCCTTGCTTGATTTAGTTATTCCACCCACATGGGGCTCGGGGTGCACTTGTAGCCCAGCATGGCAAGGCAACTTGCGGAGGCTGTCCGTTCACAGGCTTCCCGGGAGGAAGTGTAGGAGAAGGGATGGCACATAAGTCAGGCCTCCTCAAAGAAGTCACATGGGTGGTTCTGGTACCCAGCCTGCCCAGTGGTGGGTGGACAGCTACTGGCCCTGGGCCTGGACTGTACTTCTTCTAGACCATCCATGCCACAGAAAGCACAGGTGCCTGCTCTGGCTCCCTGAGTGGTTGTGTGTGTGTGTGTATGTGTGTGTGTGTGTGTGTGTGTGGTGCTCTTGAGACAGGGTGTTGCTGTGTTGCCCAGGTTGGAGTGCAGTGGTATGATCTTGGCTCACTGCAGCCTCAACCTCCTGGGCTCAAAGCAGTCTTCCTACCTCAGCCTCTCAAGTAGCTGGGACTATAGGTGCACCCCCACCACACCCAGCTAATTTTTAAAACTTTTTGTAGAGATGAGGTTTCACCATATTTGCCCAGGCTGATCTTGAACTCCTGGGTTCAAGCAGTCTTCCTGTCTTGGCCTCCCAGAGTGCTGGGATTACAGGCGTGAGCCACTGTGCCTGGCCCACCTGGGTGTTCTTACCTGCCGCATCCCTCTAGGCATGTCTTGTGTTTTGGCAAGATCCAAACCTGTTGCCCTCAGCCGAGCTATTGGAATGGAATGTGGCTTTGGCCAGGAGGCAGCCAGGCACTGGCCACTCACCCAGCAACTTGTCTTGTCCTTCCCTCAGATCCAGAAGTGGGGCAACATTGAGTGGGCCCATGACTACGAGCTGCAGGAGCTGCGGGCCCGCACCGCTGCCGGCACCCTCTTCATCCATCTCTGCTCCGAGAGCACCACAGTCAAGCACAAGCTCCTGAACGAGTGAGGCCTGGGCAGCGCACACTCAGCAGGATAGAGGCAGCGCAGCCACAGCTCCCCCAACCTTCAGGGCTCCTCAGCCTGTGGGGCTGACTTCCTTGACTTTTGGGGCCTTGGCCTCAGCATCACCCTGAGATTTCCCCGAGACACAGTGCGCTAGTGCGACTGTCCGGAGGTCAGCCTGATTTCAAACCAGGTGCCCCTGGCCTGGTCAGCAATGAATGTGGGAGATGAATTGTACAACTAACTTTCTCTCAACCCTGATTTTATTAAATATTTCTCCACCCTGGAAATGTGCTGAGCCCTGTTTTCACGTGCACCTCTGCACTTCTCCATTCTTCCTGTTTTGTCTAGGTTCCAGAGGGTTAAACAGCTTATCTCCCATGGCATGTTTGGATATCTGCTGCCTGTGGTTGGGAATCTTGTGCTGGGGAAACAGTCATGTCATCCACAGACAACTCTATTTGTGTTCTTCAGCCTCAACTTGAAGGCTTTTTTTGGCTGGCTTTTAATCAATCTTTTGAAATGATCGTGGTTTAAGCTGGTTGTTTCTATTTGTTCCTACTGTTCTAAAACAAGTGATTTACTCTAGAAAGTAGAAAATGGACAGGCTTGGCGAGGTCACCTGATGTGCATGTTTCCGCTCATCTCCCACCCAGGAGTCCCAGGGGTCCTCCCAACATAGCCACCTCTAATGTCCCAGGAGGCAGGTGCTGCTTTCTGGTGTCAGGCCAGTAAGAGGGCAGTGGGGATCCCGAGTGTGGTTCTTAGGCAGACAGGCTCTCTCAGTCCTGTGTCCTTGCTAGCCTGAGTAAGGTAATGGCATCAACCCTGTTCACAGGGCACTGATCGCATGCTGGGTGCCTCTCCACGCTTCCCACGCACTGTCTTCCTGAACTGTTCCTCAAAGGCACTGTGAGGTACTATCACAGATGACACCAGGGCTGCGGGGGTGTGGTGGAGCTGGGATGCCCCGCCTGTGCTCTGCTCTTCTGGAGGGTCCTCAGGTCCCTGTGGCTAACCTCAGCCTTGGTGGGCAGGCCCAGGCCCCCACACTGTGGTGGGAGCTGCAGCCTCTCCTGCATTGCTGCCCCTCAGCACCCAGAGCAGAGAAGGTCTCAGCCCACACCGGCCTCCTTTTGCCTGTGGCCGGCAGCCTACCTAGGCATGGCAGGGGAAACGGCAGGGGCACGTGTCTGACTTTATGCCACAGCCAAGAGTCTAGCTGATGGCAGTGCCCTTGGGAGTCACTCTGTCAGCTGGCCTGGGACCGGCTGTTCATCTCAAACTCTCCTGTTCCTACATGAACATGAATTCTGATTTTTTTGTTTTTTGTTTTTGTTTTTGTTTTTTTTGAGACGGAGTCTTGCTCTGTCGCCCAGGCTGGAGTGCAGTGGCCGGATCTCAGCTCACTGCAAGCTCTGCCTCCCGGGTTCACGCCATTCTCCTGCCTCAGCCTCCCGAGTAGCTGGGACTACAGGTGCCCGCCACCTCGCCTGGCTAGTTTTTTGTATTTTTAGTGGAGACGGGGTTTCACCGTGTTAGCCAGGATGGTCTTGATCTCTTGACCTTGTGATCCGCCCGTCTTGGCCTCCCAAAGTGCTGGGATTACAGGCTTGAGCCTCCGCACCCAGCCTTTTTTTTTTTTTTTTTTTTTTTTGAGACAAAGTCTCGCTCTGCCGCCCAGGCTGGAGTGCAGTGGTGCAATCTTGGCTCACTGAAACCTCCGCCTCCCAGATTCAAGCGATTGTCCTGTCTCAGCCTCCTGAGTAGCTGGGATTACAGGCACACGCTACCATGTCCGGCTAATTTTTGTATTTTTAGTAGAGACGAGGTTTCACCATGTTGGTCAGGCTGGTCTTGAACTCCTGACCTCGTGATCTGCATGCCTCAGCCTCCCAAAGTGCTGGGATTACAGGCGTGAGCCACAGTGCCCAGCTGATTTTTTTTTTTTTTTTTTAATGAATAGGGGAAATGTGACATGAGTCCTTTATTTTCTCTACTTTTGGAAGTTTTTCCAGGGGTGGGGCAAGAATGGTGTGGGGGATCGTAGTTGAGAGATGCCCAGCAACTCTCCCGAGGTGCTTGGTGAGGCATGTGCACTTCCTTCTCTTGGTTAGGGCTGGTGCTATGTTTTGAAGAGGCTCCTGTGGCTGACACTCATCTAGTCTAGGATGTCGCTATATTCCAGGTTGTCCAGTTCGCTCTGCATGTGGTCGACGTACTGATTGATCTCCTTCACGCGCTTGCGGTTCCTCATGATCTCATCCTTGTGAATCTGAGGAGTGAAACCAAAGCCCGATTCCTTACATCAGATCATTGGTTAATATCTTTCACTGAGTCCAGTTTGAGGGAAGGGGAAAATAGTTCCTTGAGATCTGCAAACCTCCTCATTTGCTTCTGCGCCTCCCCAGGTTCTGCTGATCTCTGTGTATTTGAAGTAGGAGTTAGGAAAATGATGAAGCCCATGGGTTTTGTGGTTTTTTTTTTTTGAGATGGAGTATCACTTTGTCACCCAGGCTGGAGTGCAGTGGCACGACCTTGGCTCACTGCAAGCTCCACCTCCCAGGTTCACGCCATTCTCCTGCCTCAGCCTCCCGAGTAGCTGGGACTACAGGCACCCGCCACCTCGCCCGGCTAATTTTTTGTATTTTTAGTAGAGATGGGGTTTCACCATGTTAGCCAGGATGTTCTTGATCTCCTGACCTCGTGATCTGCCCGCCTCGGCCTCCCAAAGTGCTGAGATTACAGGCGTGAGCCACCGCGCCTGGCCGACGCCCATGGGTTTTAAGTCTCTGGGCAACCTTGTCTTCAGTGTGGAGTTCTATAATCCTTAATTTTATTTCTTCTTTCATTTCATTCCTAAATGAGAATTCTATCCACTACCTAGGGAGGATTTCCATGTCAGCTAGAAAAATTTGTCCAACCTGCTAGGATGGCTTGGCATTGACTCACCTTGTCTACTAAACGTGTACACCAGGAGTTGATTCTGGTCACCAGCTCATCTTCTCGATTATCAATCTTCAGGAGGTGGATGTCGTGCGATGCCCCGACAGCATTAACAATCGTATCTTTATCGACAAAAAGCTGGTGAGTGAAAAGAATCCAATGAGAACGTGTGTGTCATTACACCCTGAACACAAAGAGAGCTGAATAGAAAAGGAGCATTTCGAAGTCCCCTGGCTGTGCAGGCCACACTGAGAGCAGAGCTCACCTTTGTATCAGCGCACTCTGCCGATTCATCTGTGAATTCATCTGTGACAGCTGCCTCCCCAACCGCGCAGGGCAGGCGTTGAGGGGAAAGGGCCAACCAGGGTGTTACTTTGCAGTCCCTGCTGGAAGCATGTTTCCTCCAGGGTGAAGGCAGATGGCTGCCCAGGGGGCACCTCACCCAGGACATCTATTCTCACAATGCTTCTCTCTCAGTTACTCTCAAGTCTGACTTGCCCAAAACCTCTGCGTGCTGGGTGGAAGCATGAGACTGGCTGAGGGTCTTGGTGCTGCTCTGAAGACAGCAGGCCCTATAAACTGATGGGTGTTCACCCCACAGTTGTCTCTCCACTGCCACTCATGTCAACAAAACCAAACCATGGATTCCATTTGGGGTCTCCTGCCTTCTGTTGTTCCTGACTTTGCTGTCTTGTAAAAAGTTGTTAGAAACAACCACCCTTTAATAGGCCTCACTGGTTCCAGGTGTTGACACTGTGGCTGTCGTTGCCTGGGATGGTTGAAATGCCCAGAGCAGGGCAAGGCCACCGAAGCACTCAGTAAGCAGTTGCTTCCACCTTGAAGCAGAGGCGTTTGGTAAGGAAGAGCACGTGAATACTCTATTGCAGGGAGGACTTGCAAGTGGCGTGTACACTTTTTGTTCTTCCCTGTAGTGGCAGTTAACGGTCTCTAAAACATGTTCTGTGGAATCTTATGTTAATATTTCTATCAAAAAAGGTATTCTTTGGTCAAACACGTTTGGGAAAGCCAGCACCCACTAGGCCCCTTCTGAAGATTTGCAGAGCACAAAGTATTCCAGAGGCTCTACAAAGTCCTGTGGAAAATAAACCCTTTAAGCTTTGTCTCTCTTGGTTTTTCAACTTTTTTGGCCACAGACTTCAGAGTAATGCCTGTTAATGTCTTGTGGGATGCTGATTTTCCACAGAATCCCCGTGGGAAAAGCCAGGTTAGCTGATATGTGGAATGGGGTGTCTGGGGGGCCAATTAGCACAGTCACAAGGGAGAAATGTCAAGAAATCATTAAGTTCTTTCCATGTGTGTACAAGGTCCCAGGCCAGGCTCTGGGAATGGTTCAAAGGTGTGTAAAGCCTGTTTTCGGTGAGCGTTGGCAGTGTGCTTAGAAATGAGTGTTCTGGTTATTTTAGAGATAACTACAACCACAGTGTCAACCCATCACGAAAAGGTTTTCATCCTTCATTCTAAAAAGTGGGTCATAGTGGAGCTTTTAGCCAGGCAGAGAAATCATCCCCCTCAGAGTTTGAATATGTAGAAAACAGCTTCAAAAGCTGTGAGAAGCAACAGAAACTGAAGTCTGCTTAGAAAGATACATGAATAGAATTGGTTATGAAAAACAGTGTGACATTTGTAAAATGCAAACAAAAGGAAACTGGGTTTAAGGGAATTATTTTGAGATGTAAGTTACAAGTTGTTTCTGGACTTTGGTGGCCTAGAGTGGTGGCTACTTCAATTTTCCCTCTTAGAATAGTTTTTATGGGTAGAATATTCCAGATCCCTCTCCAGTTTCTGCAGGTTGAAAGCCTAGGGTGGAGGCAGGGACTGTGCAAACAGGTATTCCTGAATCTTTTTTGAGCTGTTGCCCTGCTCTGTGGTCCTTGTGGCTGTAAAGACACACTTCTTTCAAAGCAACTTCTTTGTTTAAACAGTGTTGGCATTGGCCAGGCGCAGTGGCTCATGCCTGTAATCCCAGCACTTTGGGAGGCTGAGGTGGGCAGATCACCTGAAGTCAGGAGTTCAAGACTAGCCTGGCCAATATGGTGAAACCCCGTCTCTACTAAAAATACAAAAATTAGCTGGGTGTGATGGTGGGCACCTGTAATCCCAGCTACTCAGGGGGCTAAGGCAGGAGGATAACTTGAACCTGGGAGGCCAAGATTGCAGTGAGCCAAGATCGTACCCTTGCACTCCAGCCTGGGCAGCAAAAGTGAGACTTCACCTCAGAAAAAAAAAAAATGGCATTAAAAAAAATTGACTAATAATTGTTCATATTGATGGGGTACATACTGATGTTTCTACACTTATCATATATAGTGATCAGATCAGGGTATTAGCGTATCTGTCTCAAACATTTATCATTTCTTTGTGTTGAAAACATTCAATGTCCTACTTCTAGCTATTTGAAACTATATTATTGTCAACTATAGTCATCCTATAGTGGTATAGAACACTAGAACTTATTCCTCCTATCTAGCTGTAATTTGGTATATCCTTTAACAAATCTCTCCCTATTCCTTCATCCCCCTACCCTTCCCAGTCTCTAGAAGCCTCTGTTCTTCTTTTTACTTCTATGAGATCAACTTTTTTAGCTTTGGCATACGAGTGAGAATATGAGGTGTTTAACTTTCTGTTCCTGGCTTATTTCACTTAATATAATGTTCTCCAGTTCCATCCATGTTGCCATGAATGACAGGATTTCATTCTTTTTTATGGCTGAATAGTATTCCATTGTGTATATGTACCACATTTTCTTTATCCAGTCATCTGTTGTTGGACACCTAGGATGATTATGTATCTTGCTATTGCAAACAGTGCTGCAATAAACATGGGTTCAGATATCTTTGCAATATAGTGATTTCCTTTCCTTTGGATAAATGCTCAGTAGTGAGATTGCTGGATCATATGATAGTTCTGTTTGTAGTTTCTGAGGGCCCTCCACAGTGTTCTCCCTAGTGGCTGTCCTAGTTTACATTCTTACTAACAGTATATAAGAGTTCCTTTTTCTTTGGATCCTCACCAGCATTTGTTATTTTTTGTCTTTTTGATAATTATCATCCTAAGTGGGGTGAGATGATGCCTCATTCTGGTTCTTATTTGCATTTCTCTGATAACTAGTGATGCTGAAGATTTTTAAATGTATTTGTTGGCCATTTGTATGTCTTCTTTTCAGAAACATCTGTTCAGATGTTTTTAATTCAATTGTTTGTTTTTTTGCTGTTGAGATGTTAGAGTTCCTTGTATATTCTGGATATTAATACTCTTGTCAGATAAGTAGTTTGCAAATATTCTCTCTCATTGTGTACGGTGTCTTTTCACTCTGTTGTTTCATTTGCTGTGCAGAAGATTTATAGTTTGATATATTCCCGTTTATTTATTTTTGCTTTTGTTGTCTGTGCTCTTGAGGTCTTATTCATAAATTTTTTTCCCAGTCCAATGTCCTAAAGCATTTCTCCTGTTTCTTCTGGTCATTTTATAGTTTCAGGTCTCTTTCTTTCTTTCTTTCTTTCTTTTTTTTTTTTTCCTGAGACAAAGTCTGGCTCTATCGCTCAGGCTGGAGTGCAGTGGTGCAATTTCAGCTCACTACAACCTCCGCCTCCTGGGCTCAAGCCATCCTCCCACCTCAGCGTCCTGAGTAGCCGGGACTATAGGCACGCACCACCATGCCCAGCTAATTTTTGTATTTTTTATAGAGAGTTGGGGCTTTGCCATGTTGCCCAGGCTGGTCTCAAACTCATGAGCTCAAGTGATCTGCCTGTCTCGGCCTCCCAAAGTGCTGGGATTACAGGCATGAGCCACTGCGCCCGGCCAGTTTCAGGTCTTACATGTTTAGTTGATTTTTGTATAGGGTGAGAGGTGGGGATCTAGTTTCATTCTTCTGCATATGGATATCCAGTTTTCCCAGCATAATTTATTGAAGAGACTGTCTTTTTCCCAGTGAGTGTTCCTGGCGCTTTTGTCAAAAATCAGTCGGCTGTAAGTACATAAGATTAATTTCTGAGTTCTCTATTCTGTTTCATTGATTTATGTATCTGTTTTTTTGTTTGTTTGTTTGTTTTAAACAGGCTTAATTCACTTTATTTTTCTTGTATAAAAACTCTGTGTTACTTTGGGAAGCCAAGGTGGGCAGATCACCTGAGGTCAGGAGTTTGGGAGCAGCCTGGCCAACACTGGTGAAACCGTGTCTCTACTAAAAATACAAAAAATTAACCAGGCGTGGTGGCATGTGCCTGTAGTCCCAGCCACTCGGGAGGCTGAGGCAGGAGGATCATGTGAACCCAGGTGGCGGAGGTTGCAGTGAGCCAGGATCACACCACTGCATTCCAGCCTGGGTTACAGAGCAAGGCCCCATCTCAAAACAAAACAAAACAAAACCAACCCTGTGTTGCAGCCACAGCTGCAGCCTGGGTCTTTCACACAGAGTGTGGGTCTTGACAAAATGGTCAGTGAATTCCTGAGAGGAAGACTTGGTGAATACAGTCTTCTCCCAGAGGTCAGGGGGCAGGTAGCTATAGGTCTTGGAGATGGCATCAAAGGTGGCCTTGGCAAAGTTGTCCAGAGTGGCAGTGCGGCTCCTGGCTGAGGTGTAGTGGTTGTCAATACTGGACATCAGCAGCATCTTCTTGGGCACAGAGGCCAAGAGGATGCCAGTGCCTCTGGGTGCAGGGATAAGGTACAGCAGCACAGAGCTGCAGCAGCCTGTCACCTTGCAAGGGACAGTGTGGGGCTTACGATCTTGGTCCCCCAGTAGCCTCTCTGCACGGGACAACGGAGAGCGTAGCCAGGATGATGATCCCTCTGACAGCAGTGGCTGCTTCCTTGGAGCACGTAACACCCAGACTGACGTGGCCATTGTAATCCCTGATGGCAACAAATGCCTTGAACCTGCTGCACTGGCTGGGGCAGGTCTGCTTCTGTACTGGCATAATCTTTAAAACCTTATCCTTAAGAAAGGCCCTCAGGAAAAGGTCAATGATCTCAGACTTCTTGATGGGCAGGGAGAAGAGACAGATCTCCTCCAGGGACTTGATCTTCATGTCCTTGACCAGGCAGCCCAGCTTGGTGACAGGCATCCACTCCTTGGCCTGGGCTTTGCCTCTGAGAGCTCCCTGCAGCCTCGGCCCCTGCCCTGACTACGGCCACAATCCTAGCCCCAGAAGCTGCTGGCAAAGCTTCCATGGTTTCCCATTCCAGGCCTCTGGGCCCTCCTGCTGCCATGGTGTCATCTACCATTTGGTGTTTTCTTGGAGAAAAATGTGTCTGTTTTATGCCAGTACCATGCTGTTTTGGTTAATATCGCTTTGTAGTATATTTTGAAGTCTAGTAATGTGATGCCTCCAGCATTGTCCTTTTTGCTCAAGATGGCTTTGGCTATTCAGGGTCCTTTGTGGTTCCAAATTGTAGGATTTTTTTTTTTCTATTTCTGCAAAGAATGTCATTGGTGTTTTGATTGGGATTGCATTGAATCTGTAGGTTGCTTTGGGTAGCAACAAAGTAACTTTTGAGAAAGGAACAGCCCCTCCCCAGGACCACCACACTGCTAGTGGCTTGAGGACTTGCTGCCCCATGGCATGTGGGATCAGATCATTTTGTCAAACCCACAGAGGGCACCTGACGACCCTGCATTCCCCTCTGCCACAAATGAGCAGCTTGGCTTGATGGTCAGGGACAAGCCAGTGCAGCATCTCCTGGTGCCAGCCAGAATCTTGTGACAGTCTCCCTATCCAGAGACTGCTGGCATGGGTCAGACCCATTGCCACTTGAGCAGACCCTGGGGACTTGCATCCTCCCAATGGCCTGGGCCTGAGCACTTGCCCTGCCCTCGCAGCCGGACACCCGCATGGATGTTCAAAGCAGCCGGGCAGCACCTCTGACCTCCCTGCCTCCCTAAATGGGCAGCTGTGGCTGCCCGCCCCACTCAGATGCCCTCCCTCAGTGCCAGCTCCAGGCTCTCTCTTCAGCATGTACGTTCTGCTTTTCCTCTCAAAGCTGGAAGGACTTGAAAATAGATGTGGGACAGATTGGCCCCACATAGGTCATGAGCTGATAACAGTCACTCAACTGCATGAATGGAGTTTTAGAGATAACTTCATTAGGGTGCCTTATCAAGAT